TATTAATCATATTTAATAAATAATATTTAATTAAAATAATTTAATAGTAGAAATAACATGTAATTAAAATTCTATAGAATAATTATATTTAATAATTTTTATTATATTAATATATATAATACGTATGTAAATACTAAACAAAACTTCTTTGCACAAGAAAATATAAGACAAATAGATTGAATTACATGTATAAAAGAAAAAAATTAAATCTATTGAATTATGTGTACAAGGTTGCAAAAACAAGTTTGTAAAAGAATTTAATAATTATCATCACATGCCATCACGTTTTCAAAAGTACAAAAAATAGTGAAAATAATTCTTTTTCTTTTTTTTCATTTTCAATTTTGGGCTTCTTTTGAAAATATTTTCTAAAATTAAAAGTAAACATATTTTCATGCTTATTTTTTTATTTTCTATGAAAATGAAAATAAAAAATGGTGAAACCAAACGGATCTTAAAAATGTCATTTTCAATTAAAAACACGATAGTATCACGATAATTATTGGATTATTTTTCTATTTGTCAGCTTTTTTTTTTCCTTCTCAAAATTAGTTCATAATCTTGAAATTACTTTTTTTTAGTAGAAGTAAAACTACTACTACTTATTATTATTATTATTATTATTATTTTATCTTTTTAGTGATAATCATAATTTGACTAAACCCTTTCATCACAATTTTTACAATCTTTTATTTTGCTAATGATTTAACTGATTAAAATTTTTGTTATTTCATATATAAAGAAAATGTGTATTAAGTTCTTGAAGTGAATGTTAGACTAAAAAAAAAGGGGATGGTTTAAATTTGCTTTGTTCATTAAAAATCAAATCTTTTAGAAAATTTGTTCTTTAGAAGGTAAACTTTTCAGTATTTAAACTTAGATTATTTTACTAAAAATAGTTTCAGAGCTAACTTGTTTTCACAACAAATTATGCAGTAATAAAATAAAGGATGCAATAATGTAAATGAAACAAATAAAGAGATAAAGTTAAAGACATTCCACACAAATTTTTATATTGGTTCACTCTATATGAGATATCTAGTCTCCACACAAACTTGTGAGATTTTCATTATCACAATCAACTATTGTTCAAGAATAATTTAGCCACCTATTAATATAAGAATACCACCGCACAATCATCGATTGTGAATGATATATACTCAGACACTTGTAGAGATTTTTACACTCAACTTCCTGTTTTCAAAACACTAAAATTAATTTTACGAAATTGGGGGCTTGTGAAAGGAAGGGTATGCAAGAATATCAAAATCTATGTTTTTGAAGAAAAATTACAATTGTAAAATTTTAGTTTGTTTTGAAATCTTGAAAAATGAAGAAATGGAGGTGAATGTGAAAGAGATGAGTGCTTGAGAAAAAAATTGAACCTTAAAAGACAAGAGGAAAGGGTGGGAAGGAGGTGCATGTGAAAGTGGAAGGTGAATGCTTGGTAAAAAAATTTGAATGTTAAAAGTAAGAAGATTCCGTAAAATTGATAAATTAAAAAATAAAAAATCATTAAGAGTATTTTGGAAAAAAAAATAACTATGAAGATATATTATTTTTGGACGAGTTCTACGGTGGTCTCGCCAAACATATAATCTACCGTGATGCAGTATAGCATATTTGTGACAAGTTTTTTTAATATATGATACAGTTTTATTATTAATAATAATTAATGACTTATTGCTTCCCTCGTCAGCTCCCATAGATTTCTGCTATCCTAGCCTTAGTCGAACCTCTGCTTACTTATTGGCTTAGATTATAAGACTGTGAGGGTTTATGCCAAAAACAAATAATATTATATCATTGTGAACTTATGTGTAATAAATTTATAAAAATACTTTTCATAAAATATTTTCTCATATAAATACCATAAAAAACAACCTTAACAATATTATCTTAACTATCATCTTATTAATTTAATGTAATTAAGTGTATATATCATTAATCTTATATTTACTAGCAGGAAAAAGGCACTCCGTATCTATATTGTATTGAATAAATAAATAAATAAATAAATGAGAAGTTATTCATAAAAAAATAGTTATTAAAAAATAAATAAAGGATAAAATGGTCCATATAAAAATGAAAATTAAAAGTAATTATTGAAATTGAAATCTCTTTATATATTAGTATAAATTCATTAGTTTCAAGATTTTAAATTTGATTAAAAATATTTTTTCTAATTTTTTAAAATAAAAAGGTATAATAGTCCAAAAAAGTGGAGACCAAAGTGGTTACCAAAAAGTATATTCCCTTTATATTTTTTTAGGTGTTTGTGTATCCTTTTTATATATTAGTATAAATGTATCTTTTATGAATGAACCATACTATTAAGAATAAAAAAAATAACTTTTGAATTATGAACCTTAAAGTTATATAAATATTAATATAAAATATTTTTTAAAAATTAAAATAAGGACTTAGTTCGTCTGGTTATAGTTCCTTGTTATAAAAAATAAATAAAACGAATTGTATAAATAAAGTACTCATGAAGAAGAAGAAAAGATCTTTGAATTAAAAACTATTAAATTCATCTGAGTATTGAATCGTAATTTGGTGAAGGGATTGCTATTATTAAATATAGAGCTCGTAATTTTACTTTAAACAAAGTTAAACTTGTAATTTTCATCTACAAAGAGAAAAGACAAAAGCAACAAAAACGACAATGAATAGAAGGTACCGTTGTTGGTGGTGGTAACCTGTGGTAAGTAAATTGGAAGCGTAACGCAACGTACGAAACTTGTTCCCATTCGGCGTCCCATGAAAATATCAAAATCTCATTTTCAATTTGAGACACAAACTCAGAAAGGAAGGATCTTTGCACAAACAAAAAGGCCTTAAAAATTAAAATCTCACTCACACTTTCTCTCTCATCATCACCAACTAGGATCCATGGCCCCTCTTAATCCACTTTTGGGAAATCCAATTCCACCAATCACAGTTCAAGAAACACCATCGTAATAAGCTAATGATAGATACAGCAATAGAGTAAGAGTGTGACACGCACGCACACACAATCACTATGACACTAAACCTCAAAAACCATGGACTCATAATGACCCCAAATAAGCCACGTGGTTCTAACTCTCACCACTAACGGAATAAACCGTCTCTATTCGCGGGCTCCTCTTCTCTCTCTTACACTCCACACAAACCAAATAAAAGCTCATAGCCATTCATCTTCCAAAAGGAGAAAAGGAAAGAAGAGGAAGAAGAAACTACACTTTGAACTCAGTTGAGATCACAAAGGGCACCACTTTGTCAAAGTGTACTAATTCCTCAACTCACTCTCTCTTTCTTTTAACCAATTTGTTCTTTCCAATTTGAAAAGAGTTAGAGAAGTTCCTTTTCTTTTTCATCTTTTTTTTGTTTGGCTCTCTCTAATTTGGTTTTGCACATAATCAATGGCTTCTCTAGTATCATCCCCATTTACCATACCCAGTTCTAAGAAACTTTCTTCTCTTGCCCAAAGACACCTTTTTCTTCATTCTTTTCTTCCCAAGAAGGCCAATTGCTATGGCAGCAACTCAAAGGCTTCCCTGAGAGTGAAATGTGCTGCAATTGGGAATGGCCTTTTCACCCAAACCACCCAAGAAGTGCGTAGGATAGTTCCTGACAACAACCAAAACCTGCCAACGGTTAAAATTGTGTACGTTGTGCTTGAAGCTCAGTACCAATCATCTCTCTCTGCTGCTGTTAGAGCCCTCAACAGCACCAACAAAGATGCAGCCTTTGAAGTTGTGGGGTACTTGGTTGAGGAGCTTCGCGATGAGTCCACTTACAAGACCTTCTGCAAGGACTTGGAAGATGCCAACATCTTCATTGGGTCACTGATTTTTGTGGAGGAGCTTGCGCTCAAGGTTAAAGCTGCAGTGGAGAAAGAAAGGGACAGGCTTGATGCGGTTTTGGTGTTCCCATCAAT